CCCGGGGGAACTTTATACTCAACTGGGACTCACCCTCGGCACTTAGCAACGGAACAAACTTAGTCTTTGAAGCCCCTCCCTCCTTTTTAGTCGTTTCACTTCTTTTATGAGTAGAGGGATTCTGTGGTGGGCGTACACCAAATCCAGGAGGAGGGGCTGTGGCTTTAGGAGCTTCTTTAACATCCTAAAATTATTATGATGATATCAAAATTCACGTGACATGTTTAAAAACCTTTTAGATTTTTTTGTTGTCTTTTTTGGTTCAAAAAGAACTAGTTCTTCTTTCTCCTGTCGAGAGTGGGCTACTATCATTTCCAGTGGCGTATCCAAGGTAGGGCATGGTAGGGCATTTGCCCTACCAACTGCTACTGAATCAAAATTAATATTGCCTTCTAATTTACTGTAGTTAAAAATTTAAGATATCTCCAATCTTGATCAAGGCCAGAGAACACAATAAATAAAGAAAACACTCAAAAGAGAACTTTAGAGAAGAAAAGAGCAAGCCAAGCTAGTCCGATATAGTCGACTTCATCATCATTATTGTGGGCGTAGACGTACTTTAATTAAGTACACGCCCATTATGAATATTAATTAACCGCAAAAAATTTTTCGGCGCGCTTCGCGCGCCATCTTTGCCCCACCATCATCTAAAGTCTAGATACGCCACTGATTATTTCCATGTTGCCATGGTGACGTCTCTCCTCCACTATGGCTGTTCAGTGGAGCAGAAACTTTCATAATAATTTTTCATAGCAACAACAATAACAATAATAAGAATAATAATAATAATAAACAACTAATAAGTAGTATTTAAAGTTACCTCCTCTACCATTTCTTTTACAATGAATGAAAGACAGACAACAGTACCTAGTCCTCGCCTACGCAAAGCTGGGCAAGGCCAATAAATAATAATAATAATAATAACAGTAACAAATTCCATTCTTTACTTTAGCTTGTTCTATTCCTTTATCAGTAACTTTTAGTTTAGCGTCTGGTGTAGTTGCATAGAAAGATTTATCAATATTACCTTCAGACT